AAAAAAAAAAAAAAAAAAGCTGAAAAGCAGAAAGAAGCTTAAACTACCAGAAGGAAGAGGAAAGGGATGAAATGAGCAACAACAACAAAAAAAGTGGATTTAGCTGAAAAAGCTAAAATTACCATGAAACCGCTAAATAGCAGAAAAAGCTGAAAAGAGCATAGCAAGCAGAAATTAGCAAAAAGAAGTTAATTAGGCTGAAAGTAGCAGAAATTACCACAAAAAGCTTGAATTTATCTGAAAACTGAAATTAGCTAAAAATGCAAAAAAATAAAATAAAGTAGCTGAAAACGTAGAAAAGCTTAAATTAGCAGAAGAAAGCAGAAAGAACACATTTGCTCAATTTTGCTGAAAGAAGCAGAAATGAGCACAAAACGTGGAAATTAGCTGAAAAAAGCAAAAATTAACAACAAGAAACTGCTGAAAAATAACAAAAAAAGCAGAAAGAAGCTTAAATTACCAGAACAAAATGGAGATTGAACATATTTTGCTGAATTAGGCTGGAAAAAGTTGAAATGTATGCAAAAAATATGGAATTAGCCAAAAACTCTAAAAATTAGCATAAAATAGCTAAATAGCGGCAGCACGGTGGCGCAACTGGTAGAGCTGCTGCCTCTCAGCGAGCAGGTCCTTGGTTCAAACCCCGGTCCAGGGGCCTTCTGGGTGGAGTTTGCGTGTTCTCTTCGTGCATGCGTGGGTTTTCTCCAGGTGCTCCGGTTTCCTCCCACAGACCAAAAACATGCATATTAGGCTCTAAATTGTCCCTAGGTGTGAGTGAGAGCGTGAAAGGTTGTTTGTCTCGTTTGTCTCTATGTGGCCCTGTGATGGACTGGAGACCTGTCCAGGGTGTACCCCGCCCCTCGCACAGTGATTGCTGGACATGGGCACCAGCGACCCCCGTGACCCAAAGTGGAAGAAGCGGGTAAAGAAAATGGATGGATGGATGGATGGATGGATGGATGGATGGATGGATGGATGGATGGATGGATGGATGGATGGATGGATGGATGGATGGATGGATGGATGGATGGATGGATGGATGAATGGAT